GCACCATGTACCATATATGGTGGACATGTAGCCAGATAACACTATTTCAGAAGATAGTGGAGGGAATAGCCAGGGATACCCTAGATTTGGAACAAAACCTACAACCGGAATGCGGACTGCTCTTCATGACACTAGAGACATACAACAAACCTCAGGCGATACTACTTTTCCATATATTGATAGCAGCAAACACTCTGATAGCAAGAGCATGAAAAAAGACCAAATCTGCACAAACCTGTTGTATGAAACAAAGCTCACTACTCAATACGGTGAATCGACACACACGATAAAAGCCAGGGACAGATGGGAGGAATACATAGCAAGGGAAGGGGAAAAGGAGGCAAGAGTCTAGGAACAGAGGGGGCGCGGGAGCAGGCGGGAGAAATAGAGGCGGATGTGGCACAAGTAGAGAGAGGGCCACACACTGAGGAGCCGCTGATGCAGGAGGCCAAAAAAAAAAAAAAAGAGTCCTACACTCCTGGTAGGACACAACAATGATAGAGAGAGTGACAACAAGCAACGTTGAAATGTTTGTGTATATAGTTCAGACAGAAAAAGATTATTGGAAATAAAAACAATACGAGGGCACTGCGCTGCCTAAATATCACTGTTCTGATTGTACAAACAGTTATGTCTTACCCAATGTTGTTGCAATCCATTCCCCCCCCTTTACACCCTTCCCTAGGGAAAACAAACAAAACCCAAACTATGAACCTCTACACCAGAGAGAATACTCCCTCCCTATTTTTCTTTCTGTACCCTAAATTGAAAATGCTCAATAAAAAGTAAACTGAAAAAAAAAAAATGGGGAAAAATAAGATTTTTTTTTATTTTTTTTAGTTCTACGTGACATTCTAACTGTGAATGTCATAATACAGTTTGCTTTTACTGCAATAAAATACACATATCTGTATTCAGCGATGTCTCACGTGTAAAACAGTACCCCCTATGTACAGGTTTTATGGTGTTTTGGGAAGTTACAGAGTCAAATATAGCATGTTACATTTTTCAGTTTTTTCACATTGAAATTCGCCAGCTTGGTTACGTTGCCTTTGAGACCGTATGGTAGCCCAGGAATAAGAATTACCCCCATGATGGCATACCATTTGCAAAAGTAGACAACTCAAGGTATTGCAAATGGGGTATGTCCAGTCTTTTTTAGTAGCCACTTGGTCATACACACCCATAGACAATGGAACAGGTCAAAGATGTGTTAGCCAGATAAAAGTGAAAACTTCCCTATATTATTCTGAGCCAAATAAATACCCATAATTTATTCCCCCTGGTTCAGAATTTTCCATAGAACCGAATGCTAGCTCACTGCCAGCCGTTCGCATGGACCAAAACCGCAAATAGACTTCAGGGGGACTTATCCGTGAATGCCCTGGAACTATTTTTGTCATGAAAACTATGCGGTTCCTGGTTGGTCACACAGTGGCACTTAGCCGCGATTCTATCGAACTGTTTTGGGCATGGGACCATGCGTGCCCTTGGCCAAAACTTTGACTTCTGGGAAAATGTCTGAACCGATCTGGGTGATTTTTGGATATGTTGTTAACTCAGATCGGGGCTGTCAGGAGATTTACATTTTCTGGGGGGTTTCTATGTTTTAAAGGTATTTTGGGTTTTTTATAAAAATGTTTGTTGTTGTGTCTGGAGATAATTTAGTTAATACAGTACTTGACTCAATTATCTCCCAGAGGAGGGATTGACCTAGTTTGTATTTGAGTGTCCTAGATCTGAGAGCAAATGTGTTTGTGTATTTTTTTTTTTAACTGTGGTTTACTCTCAGGTCCAGGGGGAAGTGCCCCTTGCATGGGGACTGTCATAAAAGGCCAAGTGTGGTCCCATTAAAGTCACTTCACTTCACCCTCAACACGCAGCCTCATCTCGTGATTTTAGGGAACAGCTATACCAGCTATACCTGCTTTGGATTGCTATACTGGCTATAATCACTAGCTCTTGTAAGAGCTACACGCTATACCTGCTAAACTCTCTGGAGTAGGAGAGGTCCACCCACTGGAAGCTGGATCCTGGGCTTGGGCCTAGGGTGGGTGAAGAACAGTTAGACCCCAGCCGAGCTGCAGCGGCTAAGGGGCTACGGTGCTTATGGTGTTTGGTGCTGTGTTTATAGTACTCCAGGCTACTAGGAAGCAGCGATTGGCGGAACAGAGCAGAAGATAGGGAATTCTAAATTAAAAACGAATTTGCAATAAAAGGAGTGTAAACGTAAGAAGTGTTCTTCAAGAAATAGGTCTATTCTCAGAGCTATTTCAGATCATTTGGCCTCAAGTAGGTTAGCACAAAATGGAGGATTAAATATTTTGGATGTTCTTAAATTATATGTATGAAACTCAACTGCTCCCAAAATTCAGAGCTTAGTGAATAGCTCCACTTCTGCCCCTCTAAATATTGAAAATGACTAGATTATAAAAAACTACCTGAAACTTAAGTCCATGATTAGTTCTCACTGGTTGTGGTTTTATTTTAGTCATCTATTTATTACTCTTATTTAGGGTTCTGGGACAAAATAGCTAAAAAAAAAAAAAAAAAAAAGAATTGAGGAAATCTTAAAATGCATAGCTTGGCCTACAATTTGCCTTGTCAGTTCTCCACAATCCTCTGACTTTATCGGTCTCAATTACCTTGATTTTGCATATCTGATTGCATGTAACCCTGGCAGTCATCTGATCTGTTGTTTATGCAAGAATTCTGTGTGTCTTAACCAAGATTACCTTTTGCGTTTTGATATGGATTTGTTTGCTCTTGACATTGTAATGGTTTGGAATCTCTGCACTTGTTTCAGAATTTAAAGAGATAGACCTGCCCAGGTCAATTCTCAGAACAATCTATAAAAATAAATGAAAATCAAGGCACACAGTGAAGAAATGTGAAACTGGTTCCCGCAAGTCTCTTTATTGTAATATCAAAACTTTAAAATCTACACATCTGACGCGTTTCGTCCATAATATACAAAGAATTCACTTAATCATAGACAAATATAAACCCTATTTACCTTTCCCTGTATCCTCTTGGTAAATCAATATCTGCCCAAAAACAAAGGGTGGGTATCATTTAGCATCCATACTGTGGACTTAAGACTTCACACTCTAAATACATAGTAAAAACTAGCCAAAATAACCATATACTTTAAACTGTTACAATTATCTAATGGAGAAAAATAAATCACATTAAAGGAACACTATAATCACTAAGTGGTCTGAATGCAGTGGTCATGTCATTTAAACCCTGCATTGGAAAACATTGCAGTTTTTAGAAATGTCATCCTGGAAACTTCCCTTTTTGGCCTCTCATCCAATCTAATGAGAAGCACAGGGACAAGAAGTTCATGCGTGGCAATCATCACGCACATCCAAATGCTTCCAAAGTCCTGTAACTAAATCAAACTTAGTTATGAGTCTCAGGAAGACAGCCACTACAGGTGTGTAGCACTGCATTCAAAATATTGCTGGATCTACTAAAAGACAATGTTTTAGATTGCATGACTAAAACGCCAGGGGTACTGTAGCCACACACTTAATTGAGATAAAGTGGCCTGGTTGCCTATAGTGTTCCTTTAACCCCCTGAGGACCAAACTTCTGGAATAAAAGGGAATCATGACATGTCACATGTCATGTGTCCTTAAGGGGTTAAATTTAATAACCAGGTTAGAATCCAGTTTACAGTTCACTGTAAGTACTGGTGTCTACTAATGTCTCCACTGAATCTTAACCATTTTGACAAGATATCTTTTTGGAATTAATAAGGAGTAGGACGTTACTTTTTACTTTGATTGTGATATATATAGGTCTATATGATTAAGAAGTATTTGTATACAGATTTTGTAACTTGAATATATTTATACTTATTAGTCCTTTATTCTCTTTTTGTAACATATATTTACAGGAGACCTATAGTCCAGAAAATAATAATGATTTTGGCACTGTAGGGTCCCATAGAGAATCAATGGATGAGTATAGTAGGATGAGTATAGTAATGAGTATATTAGGTCTCTATAGTACAGGGGTTCTCAACCCAGTCCTCAGGACCCCCTACCAGTCCAGGATTTGGGGGTTACCTGGGTGTGTCTCAGGTGTTTAGAAAAAGGGAAAAAAACACCTTAGACACACCCAGGTAATCCCTAAACCCTGGACTGGTAGGGGGTCCTGAGGACTAATGTTGAGAACCCCTGCTATAGTAGGTCCCTACAAGTTTTTGCTGTAAACACTGCCCTTTCAGATAAAATGTTTTTTTACATTGCTCCCTAGGGACACCTCCAGTGGCAGTCACTCAGACAGCCACTAGAGGTGTTTCCTGTGTCAGTGCTGCATAGGCCCATTTTCCACACCATCCCTACTGCAAGCCTCTACAATTGAACGCTGCAGCTTTAAGGCCCATTTTCCACACCATCCTTACTGCAAACCTCTACAATTGAACGCTTCAGCTTTAAAGGACCACTATAGTGCCAGGAAAACATACTTGTTTTCCTGGCACTATAGTGCCCTGAGGGTGCCCCTCCCGCCCGGCTCTGGAAAGGGGTAATAACTTAAAAACTGCTATGTTTATTAAAAAATGGGTTAACCCTAGCTGGACCTGGCACCCAGACCACTTCATTAAGCTGAAGTGGTCTGGGTGCCTAGAGTGGTCCTTTAAGGTATAAATTTGGAACTCAGAAGATGCTCCACCAGATTTATTTTACCTTTGCCACTAGATTACTTCTTTATAATAATGTTTTCATTGTTATCTATAGTGTATTACTGTAGTATCTTGTACTTGCAGCTACATGCACTAAATAATAATCTGGCTGTTAGGATTTGATTGGCAAAATTCTAAATTGTAAATCACAACTGTTTCTTGTCCCCTCCCACTCCTTCCCCCATGCTTGCCACTACTAGCAGTAAATACCTTGATATAACTGTTTATCTCTACTCCCTCCCTAGGCCCATTTCCCACACAAGCCTCTACAATTATACTCGGCTCAACCAACCCACCCACACAGCCAGGTTCCCCCTAAATTTATAGCATGCTCCTCCAGCTGTTTAAAATTATCACTCACTTACCTCTTCATTCCCTCTATATTCTACCAATATCTGCAACTCTATGTTTCCTTATTTAGCCACCACTTCCAAATTTCCCCTGCTACCTCTTGTCTCAAATCCCCACGGTATCCTTTAGATTGTAAGCTCACGGGCTATCTACCTATGCACTTTGTATAAAAGAGCTTAAATGGCTAGATTTCAGCTTACGGGCAGGGCCCTCTCTACCTTTTGTATTTGTGTGTGTATATTGTATGTTCTCCACTAATTGTACAGCGCTGCGGAATCTGTTGGCGCTTTATAAATACCCATAATAAATAAATAAATAACATGAGTTTCCACCCTATTTAAGGGTGGGGGGTTGTGGGCTAAATAGTGTTTTTAATACTATGGAATCACAAATACACATTTGTTTTCCTGACCATATAATGTTCCTTTAACCCCTTAAGGACCAAACTTCTGGAATAAAAGGGAATCATGACATCTCACACATGTCGTGTGTCCTTAAGGGGTTAATGTAATTCATTTCTCTCCAATATATATATGTGAAGTATATGGTTATTTTAGCTATTTGTTATTATGTGTTTAGAGCGTATAGGGGTAATTTCACACTATGGATGCTAATTGATACCCTCCCTCTTTTGTTGGGTATATATTGATTTGACTAGGGCATACAGGGGAAGATAGATATGGTTTGTATTTGTCTGTGGTTAAGTTCTTCGTTTATTAGGGGTGAAACACATCAAATGTGGTAGTTTTAAAGTTTTGATACTACAAAAAAGAAGATTGCAGACTCAGTTTCACCTTTCTTCTATGTGTGCCTGGATTTTATTTTATTTTTATATACTTCTGTTCTACTTTCTGAATTGTTAGATGCATCTAGAAGCACCAGCAAGTCGAATGGGTGTGTATTATTACTTTTGACATTATGATTTAGGTAGCTCTGTTAATGAAAGCAGAATGTGTGGCATTTAGAACATAAGGACCATTTATGTTATTTCAACACATAGTCATCATCACCCGGACCTTCAGACAGACTATTTATGTAGGTTGTTGGAATTTTCTTATGTTTTAGTCACCCTGAACCCATTATAGATGCAGGGTGTGTGTAATGTAATTGTTTATAATCTGCGTGTATGTATACTGTTAAAGGAGTACTACAGTGCCAAGAAAACAAACTTGTTTTCCTGGATCTATATGGTTAATAGCCCCCTCCCACTGGGGTTAAAACACCTTCAGCCACTTACCTTAATCCAGCTCCCTCGGAGATAGTCACCTCTCCTACCCCTGCCGACGACAGCTCCGAATGTGCATGCGCGGCCAGAGCCCCGCGCGCATTCAAACCGCCCATAGAAAAGCATTACTCAATGCTTTCCTATGGACGTCAGTGTGTCCTCAATGTGATTTTCGCATTGAGGATCGCGGAAGCGGCCTCTAGTGGCTGTCAGGGAGACAGCCACTAGAGGCTGGATTAACCCTCAATGTAAACATAGCAGTTTCTCTAAAAATGCTATGTTTACAGCTGCAGGGTTAAAACTAGGGGGACCTGGCACCCAGACCACTTCATTGAGCTTAAGTGGTCTGGGTGCAAATAGTGGTCCTTTAAATGTTTTGCCTGCTCTCCTGTACTGCTGAGGTTTGCTACCAACTAGGTGGATTTGGCTATGGAGCCTGTGTAGTGCCCTCTGTTGGTAGCAACAGCAATATGCACTACCTGAATAGCAAGGCTGGTTAATTTGCATATTTAGGTAGATTTGCATATTGCTATTTCTGCAGGCAGGAGATATTTTTTATGTAATTTTTTGTCTTTCCCACCTCTTTATAAATATGTCATTATGTTATTATTAGTTCCTGTATGTTGTCTAATGTGATTTGACTGTTTGTCACAGCAATCTTGATGTAATAATCATATGTTCTAGTCCCAAGAAAAATAAAGTTTTCCATGTCAGTTCCTTAAGAAATTTGTGTCCCGTGCGGATTTGTAGGGATCCCAGTGACAGAGTCTTCAGACCTGGTTGCAGGATTCTCTAGCCCTGTGATAAAGCAAGAGAGTCAGGCTGGAGAGCTGCATTTGCCTTTGTCAAGGCAATACTATACTCACTGTAAGCAGAGCTGCAGTGGAACAGGCAGAGAGGACGATAACTGCCTGGAAGACATGCTGCAGCGGAATAGGCTGCCTGGAAAGAGAGCTTTGGCCACTGGAAGCTGGACCCAGGATCCTGGTCCAGGGTGGGAAGCAATAGGACCAAGCTGCGTTGGCTAGGGGATGAAGTGCTGGTGGTGTACCGGTGATAGCTAGGAAGAGTGTTTGGCAGAGGTACCCAGTTGGGGTACCAGGCGGTCCGCTACACAGACATAGAAGGTTTTACCTTACATTCATCATCCCAGTATTATTGAGGAGAGAGGGGATCAAAACTCAGGACCCACTGAGGATTTATAGTTAGTTCTTTCTTTAAAATGTCTCCATGGGGTCCAAATCTCCACATATTTTTCAAATTGGTATATTTTGTGATAAAAACCTTCCTCTATTCTATATTGATAGTCAATTTGTTGTAATAGCTCTTGCCATAATGGTTTGCCTTTGGTTTTCCAGTTACGTGCTATACAAGTCTTAACTGTTAACATTATATGGACCATTAAGCATTTTCGTATGTATTTTCCTGGTAGTTGAATGTTAAATAGAAAGATTTTTGGGGAAAGTTCTGTTCTGCGTTCAAATAAACAACCTACTAAATTTAGAAAATTATTGATTATACACTTTAACTCAGAGCAGCCTTACCAAATATGAACAAGTGAGCTATTGGCTACCTCACACCTCCAACAAACCTTTAAAATTTAATGTATAGTGAATTTCTAACACGTTCATCCTATGTATATTCTTTTTTACTATTGTTATACAGTTGATCCAGTCGTCACAATCTAAATTAACATTCAACTTCTGTTCCCATTTTATCCAGAGTAAAATATTTTCTTGATTTCTCAACTAAGCTATACATTTAGAAACCTTAGAGATGATTTAGAGATGATTTTTTTGTTAATGATGATTTAGAGATGATTTTTTTGTTAATGACGTTGTGACAGAGTCTATGGGAGGGTAATAGAAGGAAGGTATTTAGGACCCAGAATGCTCCATAGCCTGTACTTATTCACCTGCCCAATTAGCAACTGCTGAGGCTTTAATTAGCAGGTCTCAGAGTAGAAAGAGGGGATACAATCTGACCTGCAGAGAGCAGGTCTGTGCAGAGCAGCACCAGAAAAAGTGCTAAAGGTTGGTGAAATCAATGGTTATCTTGTTGATTTGTGTAGTTTATTACCCTGGTTTAGTAAGGGACATTACTTTATGTTTAGTAAGTGCTCAAATTTGAGCTAGGATTTTGTTTTGTAAATTTTCCTTTCTGTTTTGAACAAACTGATTGCTGCATGGATTTTTGTGCACAATGTAAATAAACCACACCTTTTTTGCATAAGAGACTGTTGTTCTATACCTTTTACCCTAGAGGACTGTGTTGCTCTGCCCATAAAGGTCACAATGTATAAATAATCTTGTATTTGGAATATATTACATTTTTACTTGTAAGTCATCTTCTGTGTAGAATATATTGCATTTGTGTTGGAATCCAAAACTCATACATCACATACATTTCTATGTCAAACCTTCAGAGACAGTTTGTTTGATATTACTAGGTGCTAAAAATATTTTTCTCTAACTGAATGATTTCATTATTTGTCAAAATTAGTAAAATAACAAAAACCACAAAAAAAATCCCCCCCCCCCTCCCCCACTAATAAAGTAGCATACAAAAATATACACTTCTTAACTTTTGGTCTTTGTCAGTTATTATAAGCAAGGTCATAATCTTGTTATGTACGCATCCTCTAATTTGTGATAAAATATTTTATCTGGTAGTGAATTTCCTGCAAAAACCACTAGAGGGCAACAAAGTATTCCATTGACAGCTGATTTACCGTTCACAGTCTAGGTAGAAATTTACAGATTTTACTATTAACATGACGTAAAGTCATGATTTTATTAATGACATGGAGGCGAGTATTATGCTGCACTCTTTCTTTATTTACCTCAGCAGCAAAGAAAAATAACATTAAATCGGTATAAAAGAAACCAGTAAATAACATGAGGTATATCTTCCTAGCAACAGCAACAGCCAATCAGCATCCTCTTTATAGCATAATAGGCAGTGTCCAGTATACTACTTCCTCTTTCTTGCGATCCCGAACAAGGACAACAAATCCAAATAAAAAGTGGGCTTCAATTAGAGGGTATACGAGCCTTAAACTGGATCTAGAAGTCAAGCTGGAAGAGAAAAGAGAATATGGTAATATCCAAGTATAAAACTGGATTTATGCATAAATTTACATGAAATATCAGATATATATATACACATAACATGAAATTCAGTTTAGTCAAACCTTAAGCTCTTGACAGTCATTAACAAGGATAAAGCCCAGTAATCAAAAAAGACTTACCGTGAAGTCAACTTACCCAGAGAAGACCAAATCTCCAGGGATGGGAGGGAGGGATAATACTCGCCTCCGTGTCATTAATAAAATCATGACTTTACGTCATGTTAATAGTAAAATCTGTAAATTTTATTAAGACACGGAGGCTCCTATTATGCTAGTTCAAAGCTGTGAAATTATGTCTCCTGTGAAGTGTTGAATAGGTCTAAAGTAGAAATCATGGAATGTAGACTCTGAAGACCAGCCGCTCTCATAATATCCTCCAAGCGACAACCAATCGAGGAAGCCTTAGAAGCCATTGCCCTACGAACCGAATGAGGCACTGACACAAAGGTATCAATACCTGCTAGAGACATCACGTATTTGACCCACCAGGCTAGAGTAGACACCGGAAGATGCGACTTTTGGAAGAGTTCCTGTTTCAAAGGATTCTGTAACGTAGTAGAACGATGTTCACACACCCATTAGTATGCAACAGGGCAAAGGATCTATCAGGGAAAACTGGGTAAGATAGATTTTAGAGGAGGTTTTTGTCCTCCGTGAAATGTCAAAGAGGACACCTTCTGGAGTAAAGGAACGACCAACCACCTCACTAGCTCGTACGTCAGAAAAAACCTCTTGCAAGAAAAATAAATAAAAAATTCAAGACAATAGAGACGTCCCACAAGACAGAGTATCGTGGTAAGGGTGAATGAGCAAACCATATTCCTCAGAGAAGTCAATATATGACAGGATGTCAACCGACAGGCGTCCCATCAAAACTTTGATGGCCAGCAGAAATGGACGATCGTTAAGGTCCACA